TAGTAGTCTTTAGTGTTGCGGATTGGGCTGGATCAATAGAAGATAGGAGGTCAACTACTGGCTATTGCACCTTTGTTTGGGGAAACTTGGTAACTTGGAGAAGTAAGAAGCAAAATGTGGTAGCTAGAAGTAGTGTTGAAACTGAATTTAGAGCAGTTGCACATGGAATATGCGAAAGACTATGGATAAAGAAACTACTGGAAGAATTACAAGATATAGTAAAATCTCCAATCAAACTTTATTGCGACAATAAAGCGGTTATCAATATCTCTCTAAATCCGGTCCAGCGTGATTGAACCAAACATATAAAAGTTGACAGACACTTCATCAAAGAAAAGGTTGAAGACAAGATTATATGCATGATCTACGTGCCTAAAAATGAACAAATTGCAGATATCTTCACCAAAGGACTGTCTCGACCAACTTTTGAGAATTTTATTTACAAGTTGGATATGATTAACATCTATGATCCAACTTGAGGGGGAGTGTAGAAATCCCGTGTATTATATGATATTATCGTTATTGATTGCTCTCCTTATTTAGATTAGGAAACTTTTCCTTTTCTTCGATTAGGAATTATTATAAATTGGATTCATTGTATTGTAACAATTCTTTGAGGAATATACAGAAATAATTCGTCCCCAAGGATTATATGCATGATATATGTGCCTACAAAGGAACAAATTGCAGATATCTTCACCAAAGGACTGGCTCGACCAACTTTTGAGAATTTTATTTGCATGTTGGATATGATTAACATCTATGATCCAACTTGAGGAGGAGTGTAGAAATCTCATGTATTATGGGATATTATTGTGTAATTGATTATGTACCTTACTTAGATTAGGAAACTTTCCTTTCTCTTAGATTAGAAATTAGTATATATTGAACTCATTAGATTGTAACAATTAACGTGAAATAAAATCGTTCATCTCATTCTTTAAGTGTGTCGTTTATGCCAATACCCTCTTACCTGGACATTTCCCAAAAAAAGATTCTTCTATCTCCTGGAAATGATCGGATTTTCAAGCATTAAGGGGGAGTGTTTGAACTAACGCACTTAATTAAGTCAAAATCAAATTTTATTTTTTTGCATTGACTCAAATATTTTTTGGAATTGTGTTAAGGCTTAACGTGTATTTTGTTTTTCCAACAACTCCTTTAGAACATTGCAGAGTAAAATCTAGATTTGTGAGTTGTCAAATTGATGGTCTTATTTTTCAGCACACTCAAGTCTAGTATAAAAAGGGCTAAAATGTACACATATTCAAGAGGAGAATGAATTGAATATTTTGAGATTAAATATCTCGATCCAAGCTCTCTACTAAATCAACTCAAATTTTCCTTACCACTTTTGGGAAAGTTTGAATTGCTTCCACAGCTCAAAACGAGATTTCTAATTGTAATATTTAATTCATTTTCCTTATGGAATATGTATGCATAAAATCTTTTTTATACTAGATTAGAGGATATGGGAAAATACGACCATTAGTTGACAACAAATGATGTAAAGGACTTACTGGAACAACACAATATCTTTAAAACTTTACACGTTTACAAAACATATTTGACACAAAATACATAACTATAACCTAATTGGCTTTTCAAGGGACCATTGGCTAAGTGCAAGTCAGAGTTGATTCCAAAACACGTTTCTGAGTGCGCTACAATAGTCATGTATATGATGTCGAGAAACTGGAACATTTTTTCCATTTCCTTATTTCTTTCCGAAGTAATATTATACTAAATTATAGAAGTGTTAGGTTCTTTGTCTTCCTTTGGACAGTTTGATTTCCTGAGGATGTAGTCGAAGAAAGGACTGCCTCGTCCTTCTTTAGAGAATTTTATTTGCAAGTTGGATATGATTATCATCTATGATCCAACTTGAGGGGGAATGTAGAAATCCCATGTATTATGGGATATTATTGTGTAATTGATTATGTACCTTACTTAGATTAGAAAACTTTCCTTTCTCTTAGATTAGAAATTAGTATATATTGAACTCATTAGATTGTAACAATTAATGTGAAATAAAATCGTTCATCTCATTCTTTAAGTGTGTCAATTATGCCAATACCCTCTTACCCAGACATTTCCCAAAAAAAGATTCTTCTATCTCCTGGAAATGATCGGATTTTCAAGCATTAAGGGGGAGTGTTTGAACTAACGCACTTAATTAAGTCAAAATCAAATTTTATTTTTTTGCATTGAGTCAAATATTTTTTGGAATTGTGTTAAGGCTTAACATGTATTTTGTTTTCCCAACAACTCCTTTAGAACCTTGCAGAGTAAAATCTAGATTTGCGAGTTGTCAAATTGATGGTCTTATTTTTCAGCACACTCAAGTCTAGTATAAAAAGGGCTAAAATGTACACATATTCAAGAGGAGAATGAATTGAATATTTTGAGATTAAATATCTCATTCCAAGCTCTCTACTAAATCAACTCAAATTTTCCTTACCACTTTTGGGAAAGTTTGAATTGTTTTCACAGCTCGAAACGAGATTTCTAATTGTAATATTTAATTCATTTTCCTTATGGAATATGTATGCATAAAATCCTTTTTATACTAGATTAGAGGATATGGGAAAATACGACCATTAGTTGACAACGAATGATGTAAAGGACTTACTGGAACAACACAATATCATTAAAACTTTACACGATTACAAAACATATTTGACACAAAACACATAACTATAACCTAATTGGCTTTTCAAGGGACCATTGGCTAAGTGCAAGTCAGAGTTGATTCCAAAACACGTTTCTGAGTGCGCTACAGTAGTCATGTATATGATGTCGAGAAACTGGAACATTTTTTCCATTTCCTTATTTCTTTCCGAAGTAATATTATACTAAATTATAGAAGTGTTAGGTTCTTTGTCTTCCTTCGGACAGTTTATAAAGGACTCCTACATCAGCTTCTTGCAAGAACATTAGCACTTTATTTAATGAATTTCAACGCAACCATCTCATTTCCACACCACAAATTTTCAGTTCCCAGTCTATAACCAAGAGAATATGTGATAAATTATGTAAAAACAATATGAAATCATTCAACCATATTTACTCACGCAAATACTAAGCTTTCTATGTGCTCCCAAGGATTTTTTATTTTTTTTTTTAATCAAAGCACCTTCAACTTCTAGGTGGCATTCTTAGGTCTCCACTTATTATTAATAAAACGAGGTACAATTCTGACTCCACAGTACTAAATCTAGTATCTCTCTGTGGAAATCAATTCCACACAATTATGAGGAAGTGTTTTCCAGTGTTCCGACATCTTAAATTAGACAACAATTTCAGCATTGTGCACTTTCGACATAAGATATGAAGAATGAACACAAAGTTTAATCATGGCAAAACCTTAACCGAATCAGGCGTGACAGAAGATTTTATATATCTACAATATAGTGACGTAGGAGATGAAATTTCTGAATTAATCGTGTCTGTGATCCAGATAGGCCCTGTACTGGTTTTGTGCAATTTTATTCAATTATAAGACTGATAATTACACATGGATGCATATTCCTAAAACTCAATAGAGCTTACGTTGGCTACAAAATTATATAGTCTTAAGCAGTCTTGGAAAAACAGTATAATTAGCAAGAAAAGGCACTCACTTGGAAGTTCCAGTATTTGAGTCATCTACTACCCTTAGCGGTTGATTTCTTTGTGGTCGACTTTCAATCTAAAATTTAATAACCGGGTTATAGGAGTAAATGATAATCTGCTTAAAATGATTAGAGCTTTGCAATACCTTTGTCAAACTAATATCCCTCAAAGCAAATACAGCCAAAGCCTTGAATAGCACTCCAGGGCCTTCGTCCAAAGTAAACACAATACTTGTCTAGATCAATAAACAATATTTAGCACACTGATATGAGGAAAAACACAAAATCGAAATCAAATGGATGACAGCTTTTCTACCTTAAAAGGCTTATCAGTCCTTGGTATTATAGGATCTCTTGCAAGAACTAAAAATCGAGTGATGTTTCCACAATCGTCCTGTAACACCCAGGTAATTCAAGCAATAGTATATCACATTAAATGGAAGCTAAAATCTTTTATGCTTGAAAACTAAGGCAAGTGAAATTGCACAAAAAAAATTCTAACAGGAAAATGAAACATAATCTGCCTCAAAAATAACCTATATGTACTTGGCCATTGTCCTCTCACCAGTGTATACCATATTTTCTTTCTAAAGTGCGTATATTCTGGTCTACAGTATATCAAGACATAGGTTAACCAGATTTATTATCCTGCCTTGCCCACTAGGCAGAGGTGCATAAACAGTAGTAGGGGTGGGCTTTGATTGGTTCCTTTTGTCTTCCAATTTTGCTTCAGCATGCTGAAATTTCAGTTTGGAAATAATAGGAGCTGAACTCCAAGCAATTAAATTTTGATATTTCCAATTTGATCTAATAAACATTTGGTGTTATGTGTTCAGTTAGGACCCAAATTCAAATAAGTTTTGCCCAAAGCCTAAATACTTCTTCCTCACAATTATAGGATGAAAGCATGCCTAGATAGTATAAGTTGAACATTGGTACAAAAACAAAGTAAGTTAATCTGCATTTACAGTACATAACTCTTAGTCTTTTTGTGGGTTTGGTTTCTAATGCTAGAAATCTAACATGAATTATTATATCTTAAGTTTTCAGTAGTTGCATATTTACAAGACTAGAAACCAACTGAAATAAAAATAAGTTCGCTCTGGAGAGGAATTTTTCTTATGAACCAGTTAATCAATACTCATATGAACAACAAACAAGTTAACATGAGGTAGTGTCTCAACCAGCAAGAGCCTAACACTTAAGTAGTATGTCCTCCTATTCATCTCTCAATTGGGACTCCTAGAGATCTCATTTAGCCCCTGTTTGGTAGGGTCAGAGTCAACAATTAATTTTTAACTAAATATTTCATGGGATCCACAACTTTTCAACCACACATTTCATCAACTTTTACACAATCTACTAAAAAACTGATTTTAATCCCTACCAAACAGAGGCTAATATCATTTTTTTTTTAACTAAGGGGCTTGTATAGCTCTCAATTAGGACTTATAGAGCTCTCAATTGAGACTATTTTGGAGGTTCATGATCAGGAGCTGGGGCCAAAAAATTGATTCAATGTTGGTAAGGAATGTTGCAGATAGTTATTTATGTGGGACAATTCAATGGTGGTACAATTTTATTTTCTTCTAGTTTCAGGCTGCGGGTGAAGTTAAATGGAAGACTTCGAGAGCTATAAAGGAATTGTAGAACAAACGGGTAAATGTAGGAAACTGAAAGATTTCCTAAGATTAGGGATCTCATATGATTTGGATATAGTTTTTTATACAACACTTAATAGAGCTATTTTTAGTAAATATTATCTGTTTTCCCTACGGAAACTGGATTATAGATATTTGATTTGTTGAACTTCTTGTATAAATATGTTTTGAATTGGCTTTAGCTAATAGAAAACATTTGAAATAGTAGAAAAAATAGGGAGTTCTCAAAATATCTTTTTTTACCACACATGTTGAAGAGATTCCATATAGTGCGCAAGTAGGAATGAAATTGGAGACTTAAGTAGCTAGACCAAGTTCAAAGAAAAATATTTGGACGAGTACCTGAATCCTTTCAGCAAGTATATTGAATCCATAAAGTTCTGCTGCTCGAGCACTTGCAACGATACCAGCATCCATCATTCTGTTTGAGGCCACAAGCTGATCCAAGGGAGAGTACACTTGAAAGAAAATTAAAAGCTCAAAAGAAATTAAAAATATAATTAGCTTAGAAGCACTTGTGAATTACCTGAGCAGCACCAGCTGCATCGTCGACGTTCTCTCTTAGGACACCTAACTTATTCAGGAATGCATTACATTGGTCAAGTGCCTGTCGGTGAGAGATCACAACTTGCATAAACCAGTACATGTAAGTATACTTTTTTAGGCAAGCTAGAAGTCCTAGCAGAATATTTTTCAAAATCTAAGAAAAATATTTATTTCAAGAAAATGAAGATATCTGAGGTAGATGAATAGTTCTCGAATTATTTAATGAGGTTAATATACAAACCACGTTAGCTTTCTTTCGATGCTTTTTTCACATTAACAAATTTTCTATCACCAAACTCAAGATTCGTACTGTATAACTTTGTCAATAGTTCAACTTCTTCATTTTTCAATCCTGCTTCTCTGTTTGTATATGACAAGAATTAAAATATTTTTTGTTGTATGATTCAGAGGAATGTGACATCCATGGACACAAAAGAACTTCACGATGGTGAAGCAAAGAATTCATAACCTTTTGTGATGGAGAATACAAGGAAGATGCATTTGATGGATCAAGTGTCTAACTTTCTCCTATTCCAACGATGTACATATATAAATGGAACACTTACACGAGTTTGAGAAGAAAATATATGACAAAAAGATGGATAATTTAGTTTAAAGGTGTCCATAGGAGTATTAAAGCGAGACCAAGGCTTGGCATCCTATTATTTTTATATGAAGTTGTGATTCAAATCACATTTGAAACATCAAGGCCCCAATCACTTCCAGAAAAAGTCTTTTCCTCTAAACAACCTCGTTTTGTTGATGTATATTGACACGGAAGATTGACGAAAATCCCATTTATTTTCATATAGGTTCCCATAATACTTGAAAAGTGTTTTTCGTTATCTGTTCTAAGGACAGGGATCTTTATTTGGAACTGTGTTTGGATAATTTCATTTGGAGAAAGGTTTCAAAGTGTTAGATGCCTCATATTTTTCTTTTAAAAACAGATATGTCAAACTGAAGGGAATTTTTAATTTAATTTCCAAATTAGATACTTATTTTAGGATATGTAATTATGACTTTATTTAGCTCTTGTTTGACGTACATTTTTTCAAAACTTATTTTCAACCACACATTTTTCAATAAAATAATATCTTCCAGCCCATCAATAACTTTTCTTTACTTTTTAACCACATATTTCCCATCATATCACTATTTAAAATACATTACTTCCTCGATAATATCCATCAAACACACTCTTAATAAATTTTCTAGTATTTTATTAGTTCTTTTGATGGAAATCCAAGAAATATTATACGGAGAACTTTCCAATTCGTTATGTAATTAGAGATGTAGATTCTCTAATATTTTAATAGATTCTCGAGTATTTTCTTAGATGTTTCTTATCAAAATTAGACTAGTTTAAATCTTTTATAAGCTTATGCTTTATAATAAGACACGACATTTGATATGAAATAAATTGATATTTTCTCCCACTAAATTCTCTTCTCCCTCTTCTTGTCTTTCTTTTCTCTTCCTCTTTTCTTTTCTCAATCTTGTTCTTTTTTCATTATTCTATGCCATGTTTAATTTTCAAATTGAATACTTATTTTAGGAAACATAATTAGGATTTTATTTAATTAGATTTTATAGTATTTTTCTAAATAAAGTAGACTAGTTTAAACCCTATATAAAGGGGGCTTACGCATTGTAATAGTTAGACTTTGTTTTATTGTATTCTATGTCATCGACTGATGAAATTGTGAGGAATAAATTATTAAAGGAAAGAGGAATATCATGTAATACAAAGAATATAAAACTAGACCAGGTTAGGGAAATAACTGGGGTTCTATTGAGGAAAGAAGCATTAGCAAAATGGTCACTGGTCCTGTTTTATTTCTTATGATTAAGTGCAAGTTGTAAGATTTTCAATCATAAAGTCTAGATCTTAACACTAAAGTTCATTTTCACATATGGTCTTGCACGAGCTTTTCACATATAGTAAATACTTAAGATTATTATAGCCTTTTGACTTCAATATGTTTTTATATCTTCCTAATGCTTGACCGGTCCTAAAAGGCAGCATCATAGATTACTTCAATACAACTTGTAAAAATAAAGATGAAAATTAAGGTCAAGAAACAGCCTTTAGGAAGACTGCCTGATTAGTTAACGAAGTCAAAGAATGCATCAGCCAACCTTACTGCTCTAATTGAAGCGAGACAATTACATGATTCTTCTGAATAAATCTGCCTACAGTTCCATATTCATTATTATAAAAAAAAACTATCACCTGTGGATGGCTTAGGACACGTTTCAGCTGCTCCAATCTCACACCTGGTAATGCTAGAAGGCTGAAGTTAACAGCTAATTGAATCTCTCCAACAATATGCAGTCTATGTCGAAGGAGTAAATCATAGTTTCTATGAATGCATCCACTTAAAGAATTCTCAATTGGAAGAATTGCTCTATCAGCAAGCCACAATTCAACAGCCTGAGCATATTTGACATAACCAGAACAAAATAAACACATAATTGAAGGTTTTCGTATCACTGAATTTTGTTTGGCCGTCATATAAGTTGAAAGTTTCAAATATTAAAATCCAGTCACCCACTGATTTGAATAATTAATAATGTTAGCATGCTAATCATTTTTCAAGGAACAGTAAGAAAACTAAAATGAAATGCAATTTTTTTATTTAAAAAAAAAAAGCTTTTGCAATTGCTACTGGTAGTTATGATGTCACCTTAAATGTATCTTCAAATTCTTCACATGGAAAAGTCTCACATTGTGGGTAGGCTTTAAGTGCAGCATCCTCACTGTATGCTCCTGCAAGCCCCTAAATCATCAAAAGTATTAACACAAAAGGACAAGTAAAGCCTCTTTAGTAAACACTTTTAGCAGAAAAAAATTAATTTTTATAATTGTGTCTATGTTTTTTACTATCATGAGCAAACTAAAATTCCGTATAGAAACCTGACAGTGTCATACCTTAAATGATATCCGCACCTTTGAACGACTACTAGAAGAAGTAGAAAAATCTGTCACTGATAATGGTCCTGCATTTGAAATAATTTGAAATAATAAAATTGAAAAGTCTGGTGATAGAGAACACAATCAAACAAGCACGAGATTAAGAGAGGACGGATAGGAAAGAATAGCGAGAATTGTTTTCAATATAAAGTATAAATATTACAATGCATAAGCCCCCTTTATATACCGTTTAAACTAGTCTATTTAAGTAGGAAAATAATAGAAAATCTATTAAATAACCATGACCATGTTTCCTAAAATAAGCATCCAATTTGAAAAGTATACAACTAATAAAATACTAAGAAATCTATTAAATAAAACCTAATTATGTTTTCTAACATAAGTATCTAATTTTGAAAGTAAATTAAATAATTTCTAGAGGTGCTGAAGTTGAAATAGTTAAAACTTGAGTGGCATTGTGTAAGAAAGCATTCTATGTGGTATTTACCACAAGACAAATATTAAAAGGAGATTACACATAAAATACTTGTTGCCATAAAAAGGAAATGGTTATGAGCTCTTTCGTGTTCAGTTACGAGAGGTAGCATAGGAAGGATACAACAGGAACTAACATCCGATCATAAGACCTACGCGAAAAATCCACCTATTTGATAGCAAGTGGAGAAGGCGGCTTTTACATTCCAAAAGTTTAAGCCCATTCCCATCCGCCCTAGACGACCATAGCATGTTGGGAATAAGGAGAACATACTAGTTAGAGTACCTTATCTCAAGTCCAAAATATTGCAACTTAGATCAAAAGTATTTTTTATGGTTTATACTCAGAATATAGTCATATAAACCCATTGCTAGTGCACAGGCATACAGTTGTCATGCTTAAGGAAAGTGAGAGATGTGTCATGATGCTCTTGGATAGTCACAGATGGTATGGTGGGGGAATCTTGTTTGTAGATGATGTCGGGAGGTTTCCCATCACATAATTTAGCACTCTAGATGAACATGAAGAGAATTTCGCTTAATATTAGCAGAAGTTGGCAAAAAGCTTCCAACAAAACGGCATGTGTACACTAGGTGACAACCTTGTGATTATGGACGTATTATTAAAAATAACTGAAAAATCAAATCTGTTAATAACCATAAGATTAGCAATTGTAGAATTTTTTTTTTTTTTTTTAAACAATACAATGACATTGGTGCTTCGCTTTTGTGTACTGCAAACAGTATTATCAGCAGTTTTCTGTAATAAAACCATCTGGTTATCCTTGTAGTAGTTTCAAGTTTTGAAAAACCTTGTAATCAACTTTTGCTTGACATTTTAAAAAAGCTAAAATTGTACAATTTATACAACTTAAGCATGTGGTAATGAAGATTAATTAAAATTGGCAATACGTAAAAGCAGGTAAGTTCAAATAAATCTTGTCTAGCCAATTTGTTTATATTGTCTTGCAAAATAGGCCTATAGCAACCCTCACATTAATCATATGAATTACCAGACAAGGAAATGAATTGAAAACAACTATCAGCGTGATTAAAAATTATAAATTCAACAAGCATCACAAATTGTAGTCATAGCTGTTAAATCACCTCATTTAAAAGCTTATGTTCTTAAAGGTGACACATTTATTTAATTCAATCTTCAACTTGCCCCTCATGTGCAAGCTATATTCATTTTATCAAAGGCCTACACATAATCATAAATGGGGAGCTGAGGGACCTGAACTCAGTTTCTCTGCATACTGTGCGGCTATGTTAAACCATATCCGCTTAGAGTTTTAACTGTTAAAAAGAACACTACTTTGAACCACCTCTGCTAAAACTTTAAACTATTACGAACCAACAAATTTATGTATTTAACTTTAATCTTCATAACAGGAAATAGTACTTTACGGTTGTGTTTGGTGCTTCGGATTAAACCATATAAGGAATTTGGTAGAAGATTATAATGGATATTACTAGGTATGGTGGATTAAGATGGATAGTATTCTTTGATTTTCCATTCAAAAGAATGCCATGTTATATATATTTTCTTATGGTCCTTTGCACACCTCCAACATTCCGAATTTAAAAAATAATAATAATAATAATAATAATAATAAATAAAACTCCACCTTAGTCCACCACATAGACATCTACTCGTAATTTTCATATTTTATATGCCAAATTGTAGCCTACTAGTATAAAGCTATAATCGTTTTATCATTAGTGAGAACAAGATAATCCATACTTGAGAACAAGTCATATCAATAAACCATTTGAATGAAAAATTTCTTACTTGGTAAAAAGCTCAAATCTTTCAGCGCTTTCTTGGTCATACTACCTTCTCTCTTATCAACACTCTTCTGCAAGTCAGCTGTTGAATTTGAAGGATTCTCATCTGACGAAACACTGACAGACCCAACTCTCACCCTATAAAAAAAACTCCCAAAATGCTTAAAATTCGACTGTCCCCAGCCCAATTGAGGAAACCCACCTCCAATATTGATTAAAACCTCCATCAAAGCAATCAAATCACCAGAGTCAAGAAAAGAATGGTACAATTTGGGCCTTTTATGGTTGAATTTTGAAGAAATATGATCTCATATTTCTTATTGACATTTTGGTGCGTTTGATTAAATGGGTGTAAAATGAGTGAAAATAAAATGTTTTACGGGGAAAAGATTTGTCTAGAAAATATTTTGGAGGGAAAATAAATTTAAGTGTGTTTAATTGGTATAATTTTTCATCGGAAAAATTTTTAAATTTTCTATTCGTTTGGCTTTGTTCTACGTGAAAATTGTCCATTAAAGTGATATTTTTTTCACAATTGGTTATAAAATTTGTTTCCATTGCCAAAAAAAAAAAAAAAAATTGTTTTTAAAAAGTCATTTTTTTAATCAAAGTTTAGTGTTTATTTGACTTTGTTTTACATGAAAATTGTCCATTAAAGTGAAATTTTTTTTTACCATTAGTTATGACATTTGTTTTCATCGCAAAAAAAAAAAAAAAATTTCCAACCAATCGGGAAAATATTTTACCACAAAAAAAGCGGAAAAACATTTTCATCAAAAATTCGAAAATTGCACACGTTTGGGAAAAATCAGGAAAATATTTTCCGTGAAAATTTTCGCCATCAAACAGCCAAAAAAGTGAAAAGTGAAAAATATTTTCCTACTACCCCAAAAAATGTTGTCTATCAAACACGGACGTCATGTAATAATAAAGTACTCTTAGAAATGGATTGGTCATACCCTAATTTTAGCATTGAATTGTCAAAATATTTTTACAGTGCCTTTTTGGACGTTAAAATAGAAGGGTGTCCTTAAATATATCATACAACTATAAAATATTATTTTATCTAAAAAATAGTACTACCATTCTAGTAAATAAGTGAAAATCAAACACTTCACACTTAAAATTTTAAAATTAATTAACGTTTTTTTTTCTATTTATTTCAACACAAATAAAGATTCTCTTATCTTTCATCTGCTTCAACATTAAAATCTCAAAAAATTTATCGAATGCTAAACAAGAAAATATTTTTTTATATCAATCACTTCGAATCAATAAGTAGATTTACTTATATTTAATTTTATTTTCGTTAAATTAGTATACATTTTTAATCGATAAATCTTATTTCGACATAAATTAATATGTAGATAAATTTTCTTAACAGATATATAATTTTTCTAAGCATAAACAAGAAAAATTCATCTGCATTTATATTATTTCAGATGAGAATCATGGCAATGTTAATTTTCGGCCAGCCTTAATAGCCTTAGGCAACCGGCTATTAACTGCCGGCCTAGGCAGCTAGGTCGACTGTTAACACAGCACGTCCGACTTTTTTTTGAATAAATTTCCGTTGTTCAATGGTTGAGCCTAATTTCCGACTATTTTTTATTATAATTAAAAATTATGTTTCGTCATGCAGATATGGTTGTAATCCTGATTTGTTATTTTGATAATTTCGAATTAGATAAAAAGATCGATGGCCATGGAAATTGACTAGTGATATACGTCGTGGTATTCCAAATTCCATAATATCGAGTACATCATATGCAGGAATGTACCATAATTTACAAAACAAGCTGAATGTCGATCTCTCTTAGTACGATATAGAATTGATATTTAAATTCAACGTGCATTCATCAACTCCGATTCCACCTGTGAAGGTTACTTCTACTGCTGAAGTGAATTATTTACTTGAATTGAACAATATGCACACGACTCTTCTTTGCATGACTTCAATGATTAAGAATGTTGTCGAAAGTGAACACAAATATTTGGATGAAGGGGATCATATCAATGATTTTTGAAACACGGTGAAGATTGATTATTCCCAAGACAGTTGTTCATCATCATAATCTTACTGTTACACACAGAATTACGTTGGTAGTTTACGACAATGATAATGAAAATGAATTTACAAATAAGGATTTGATTGCTATATTTTATCGAAAATATGCGTAGGGTGGGATCGTAGGGGTGGATCGAGTGGACATTCATTTAATTCTAATTCTTCACATGTGGTTCCCGATAATGAGGATTTGTATGTCGAGCTGCTGCTTGAAACAAATAAAGATTCACAGGTAGCTGTACACCGAATTGCATTAAAATACAACTTTGAGTTCAAAGTAAAGAAATCAAACAAGTCATTATTGACGATTGTCTGCATCGACGACAATTGCTGTTGACATTTGCGAGTGACGAAGATGCACACAGATGATTTATTTATCGTTCGCAAGTATACACGAGACACATACTTGCAAAGTGAGAATTCGTCGAAATGATCATAGGCAAGTCCGAGCATGATTTATTGGTTTACAGATAATGCACAAGTATCAGGACCCACGAATGATCTATGGACATTCGAACATCATTAACGATGTCCGTCTAGAGTACGGAGTAGTCATAAGCTACCAGAAGACTCGAAAGACCAAAGAATGTGTATTGAAGTATTTAATGAACTCAGCCGATGAGAGCTATGGTATTGCTATAACATGGAAGCAATTAATCATGTTTCGACACTTTTTATTGAGACAGAGGGCGAGAATTGCTTTTTAAGTTTTTCTTTATGACTCTTGGACAATGCATTCGAAGATTTCGAAATGCGATGCAACTCCTAATTCTAATTGATGGTACAACTCTGAAAACTAGATACAAATGTAAGTTGATCATTGTTATATGTCAAGATGCAATCCAATTTTACCATCTTGCATTCGACATAGTCGATAGAGAGAATGATATGTTAATGCGTTGATTTTTCACAAAGCTGTGAGAAGTAATCAGGAAAGTCGAGGACCTTGCCTCTGTAACCAATCAGGGACCATCTATAATAGATGGTGTCACTGTAGTTTTTTTCGAGGCACGACATGGGTATTACATGTACTATATACAAGGCAACGTGGAAATTAGGTATCTGATAAGTACATTTTTACATACTTATTTTACTGTCAAAACATGAGCAATTGTTGATTAATATGTTGGAATATAGCTTAATTCTATGCAATTCATGTTTTGCAGGACAAGTGATGAATGTAGCGGAAATAAGGACAAACAA